CTCCCCCTCCCTCCCTCTCTTCCACTCTCTTTGAAAAACGATAGGAAATTTTCCTCAGGTGAGGATTTTAAAAAAAGACAAAGGGAAAAAAAAGAAAAGAAAGAGAACATTTCTGCCACCTCAGAGAGCTCCCTCTGGCCCCTTCCCAGGCAACCCCTGCTCCTCCCAGGGGTAACCCCCGTTTGATTTCTTTCCTCACAGATGACTTGTGCCTCTTCTAGAACCTCATGCACATGGAAGCATTCCATGTGTATGTTGTGTGTCTGCCTTCTTTTTCTTAGTGCAACATTTTTGAGCCTTCTCTATATTGTGTTTACTGGTAGCTTTTACTACTATATTAGTGGCCCATTGCACATTGGAACTGAATTAATTAGAAAAAAATATTTTAATATTGCTTTTTGCCCCCACCCCCTGATCACTGTTCTCTCCTTCTGCCTGCGGGCACCTGCTTTGGCTGGTCTGGTCATTTTGCCGTTCCGTCAACTTGTATGTTACCCTTTTATTGTATAGGATAGTTTTCTATTACTCTATGGCTGTATTGGGTGTTCACATACAAGCCTTTGTGTGGACATATGACTTCATTCCCTTGGAGTAAATACCTAGAAGTGAAACGTGAAAAGAGCCACCTGCAGCTCTTTGGCCCCTTGAGTGTTCTAACGCCACTTCTTCAAAATAGACTTGCCCAGGCCGGAAACCGACTTCTGCGCATGGGCTAGGAAGTTTCAATCGCACTGTACATGCGTACCCACACATGTTATTTTGTGGAAGAGCCAAACTCAAGGGGCCAAAGAGCCGCATGTGGCTCGAGAGCCTCGGTTTGCCAACCACTGGTCTAGGTCATAGAGAAGGTGCGTTTAACTGTAGGAGGAACTACCAGAGCCACTGCCAATGCGATGTGCATTGTGCGCTGTCAGGACCATCGTGCAGCCTTCCAGCTGCTCCGTATTCCTGCGAGCAAGGAGCCTGTCCGTCTTTGTCCTTGTAGCTGGTTCAGCAGGCTGATGCGCAGGAGCTTTCGCTTTGTGAAGTCCACTGTGTCTTTCCTCGTCTTTATGGCTCCTTTCAGGTTCCATTCAGGAAGGCTTTGCTTATCCTCAGGTTACAGATTGCCTCCTATTTTTTCTCCCCTAAAAGCGTTATAGTTTTAGCTTTTACATTTACATCTATGATCCATCTCCAGTTTATTTTTTGTGTGTGGCATGAGGTATAGATACGGGTTTCTTTTTTCCCTACACACAGCTAATTTGTGTAACGCCATTTGCTACTTTGAATTGCCTTTCCACATTGAATTGCTTTGGTGCCTCTGTTGAAAATCAAACACATATGTGTGGGTCTGTTTCGGGACTTTCTATTCTGTCCGATCTATTTGTCTGTCTTTACAACAGAACCTTACTGTCGTGATTAGGTTGGTGTTGGGAAGGGGGCAATTCCCAGGTTCACCTCTTAGTTCTCATTTTTCTGGAGGAAATAGGGTTGTTCCACGGGCTCACAGCAAACACACGTCAGGGATACACCCGGAGAAGGATTTGAGGTCTGGTGGCAAGATTTATTGGAGCTAAAACAAAGGAAGGGCTTAAGTGATGTCTCGTCTACAACCAGATGACTCAGCTCCAAGGCACAGAAGTGCAGCCTCTGGGGCCACAGGCCCTCACTCGTCCCCACCGATCCCTGGAGGAGGGCCAGGACCCAGAGCTGCTGTGCCATCACCCCAGTATCTGCGGCTCCAGAGGCTTAGCACAGTCTCTGCTCCCGTCTGGCCTTTGATCGGCGCTGCATTTCCCTCTGTTAACGTAAAAAATCACCGAAACCTGTAAAGAATTTTCCTGAGCTTATCTGAGCCAAACTGTCGACAAAAGTCCAGGAAGCAGAACCTCAATGAATGAAGATAATGCTCTGGAGAAAGGCAGGTAACATCTGTATTTATACATTGCAATCAAAGGAAGGAACGTACTAGTAGGTGGGTTACATGAAATCCATTGGTGACAGACTAGAAAGGTGGGAGAAAGCAAAGCGGGGGAACCCCTGGGATTGGATAAAAAGTAAAATGCTAGACACATACTTAGGTGGGTGCAGGAACAATTAACAAGAAGGAATTTGTGGTGTCTGTCTTAGAGCCCAGGCACATTAGGTTGTGCCCCAAGGGGTCCAGGGGAAAAAAAGGGAAGTTACACATTATCTACACATTTCAAGGGTATGTTATTATAAAAGCAAAGAGACAGATAGGCTCAGTTACAATAAAGGTTGGCCTTGTCAGTGAAGATACCGGCCTAAGACAACTGCCCGCCCTAACTGCTTTTAGTTAAAGTTTAATTTCAGACCATCCTTTGTGGTTACTTTAGTTCTCTGAGCTTGCAACACCGCCATGTAGGGCTTCCCTGAGCCTGTCAGGTTAGCTTGTGGCCCCTTTCACCCACACCTTCCGGGGCTGCTGGGGAGGGAGGGAGGGAGAGAGAGAGAGAGAGAGAGAGAGAGAGAGAGAGAGAGAGAAACGCCTGGGGCCTTTGCTTGGGAAGGGGTAGGTTTTCAAACTATCCTCGTGTCTAGAGACATTCACGCTGCAAACTAAGAGCAGCTGTCGGCATTGCCGTTGCCTGCCCTCTCTCCATCAACCATGCTGGAGCCGGACAGCTAGACATCCTCTTCACTGGATGACTCCAGACTGAGACTGGTGCACAGTCTTCTCCCAGCATTCACCTGTGTTTCCATGGAAACGCCTTAGTAAACACAGGACAGCTTTAGGCATAGTCCTAATTTTTGGAACCCAATGCATACCTGTGCCCTAAACTGACCTATTATCAGGACCAGGAGACGGGTTCCTTGAGGTGGAGCAATCTACCTACTTAACTTCCGCACTGAGACTTCCCGGGAAAGTTTCAAAGGCAGAACTGAGGGGAACAAAAATTTCCCACCCCACCCCCAAAAATGTGTCTTTGGCATATGTATTATGTAAACGGGTTATTTTTAAGATGTAGAAATTTCAGGAAATTTTTTAAACCTCATCTGCCCTCCTACTGCTTAAAAGAATTGGGATAGGGAGGAAGAGAGCTCTTACCAAAGACAGCCTTTATTTATTTATACTAGAAAGACTTCTCTGCCTGGTAAGGCAAACATGGCTAACCAAATATTTGTTCTTCCCATCTCCCTGTGACTTGTCTTCCTTCCCTGGGAAGTCCCAGGCCCCTCCCCCTCCCCCTGACCTTAGGGCAGCATCTGAGCCTCAACTGTCTGCCTGCCTGTGGGCCTCCTATTCTCATGGAGCCCTTGTACATGCAAAATTATATTTGGTGTTCCTCCTGTTATTCTGTCTCAACATCCATTTAATTATAAGGCAGAGGAAAAACGTTCCCTCTCTGACATGTCCCTTCCATCCACCTAAAAATCTTTTTTCAACTTACAAAACTGAAACCTGTAGCTATTAACTACAAATTATTCTCCACTCCCCACAGTGCCTGAAAACCACTAGTCTGAAGGCTTTTCTATAAGTTTGACTGTGCCTGGGACCGCATAGGAGTGGAGCCATCCAGTATTTGTCTTTTGTGTCTGGCTTATTTCACTTAGCAGAGTGCCCTCCAGGCTCATCCGCGATGTAGCATGAGTCAGTACTTCTCTCCTTCTTGGAGAGCCCAAGTGGGTGAAGAGGGCAAAGGGAGGCAAGTCCACAGCCTCAAAGCTGGTGAGAAGGATGTCCTGCTGGGCATTGACCACCTGCAGACAAACCAGCTTTAAAATGTCATTGTGAGCTGAAACCGGACTGGCTCAGTGGATAGAGCGTCAGCCTGGGGACTGAAAAGTTCCAGGTTCAATTCCGGTCAAGGGCATGTATCTTGGTTGAGAGCACCTCCCCAGTAGGGGGTGTGCAAGAGGCAGCTGATTGAAGATTCTCTCTCATTGGTGTTTCTAACTCTTTTTTTATTTTATTTTATTGATTTTGTACAGAGAGGAAAGGAGAGAGACAGAGAGTTAGAAACATCGATGAGAGAGAGAGTCAGCCTCCTGCACACCCCCCACTGGGGATATGCCCTCAACCAAGGCACATGCCCTTGACCAGAATCAAACCCGGGACCTTTCAGTTCCCAAGCCGACGCTCTATCCATTGAGCCAAACCGGTTTCAGCGGTGTTTCTAACTATCCCTCTCTCTTCCTTTCTATAAAAAAATCAATAATATATATATATATATATATATATATATATGTATATATATAATTTTTTTTTTTAAATGTCACTGTGGGATCCTATCTACTGAAGATGTGGGCGTGCTGGACGTCAAATCCAAACTCCTGGGTGCTGAGATGGAGAAGGTGCAGCTCCGTGAGCTGGATTTACTTGAGATGCCACGTGAAGGCCTGGCAGTAAGGACACTGTTTGATGAGCTGATGGTGAATGCAAACCTCCGAATATACCTGCTGAGCAACAAGTTCCCTGGCCAGTGACGTGCCTGTGGAAATTCCATGGATTCTGTGTCGCCTGGTTTAAGAAATGAATCTGTTCGATAGGGGCAGGACAGTACAGTAACACTTTCTGCATAAAAGTATGTATTTTATGTGATTAATTCCTCATAAGTGAAGTGACCTACAGCTTCATGGCAAAGACCCTTGTACCCAGAGCCTTTAAGTGACAGAGGAACAACCTGAAAAGTAAACGTACTCACAGTTTATCTGAATGCTTATTTAAATTTATTTTTGTAATGCCATAAAATGAGTATCTGGATGGTTTTCAGATATGTTTTTCCTTGATTTCAGAGAGGAAGGGAGAGGGAGCTGGAAGCATCAAGGTCACTGGTGTGGGAGTATCTACTTACCTGTTCCAGAATCCCATTCTCACCTTTTTCCCCAGCAAGTCAACATTCCCTTTCTCTAGACCCACTTCCTCTTGCTCCTGGCTCCTCCCCATTGAATAAGTGCCCAATAGCTTTAGTTTCTGTTTCACAGTGAAGTCCTCCCCAGTGCAGATAACTGCCTGGCTGTGTGAGGAGCAGCGTGACCACAGAGGTGGTGGAGAGATGGCCCTCAGCAGTGTCCAGGCTCCCTTCGTGAACCCAGTGAGTTCCCAGGCTGTGGGCACATGCGATACTGCGGGGCTGACTGGCTGCTTTGCCAGGAAAACAGCTCTGGGTCTCCTAGGAAACCAGACTGGGGTGACAGAGGGTGCATGGGGGGGCTAACATGCCCGATGGGGCAATCCGGACCCACTCTCTGTCCCAGGCCCGTCTCACCCCCAGGGGTGATAATCACCGCAGTGGTGCATTGCACAGATGGTGCTGAGCTCCCTCTGGGTGCCTGGCCTGCCCTGGGTGTGAAGGGCAGGAGGGCCCTGGGCAGCACTGGAAGAGTGGGCTCTGTTGGAGTGAAAGGGAAAGTCAGCAGGGCTTCTTGGGGAGCCCAGCAGCCAGGTCTGGGTTCTGATTTAGGAGATGGCTTCCCTGGATTCAGCCGTTTCCTAGCCAGGTGGGCTCAGGTGAGCTGTTTTTCCCTGTCTAGGCCTCAGTTTCCACATCTGTAAAATAGGAGTAATCCTTGAGCCGCATCCCAGGATTGGGATGAGGATGGAGGTAGCATATCTAGGGTGTGTGAATGGTGCACGCGGTGGGGCTGTAGAAGTGTGGAGCATGGCTCGGAGTCTGGGGGCAGCAGGGAAGACCTCCTGAGGGGTGTCTGCTCCCTGGGGGTGAGTTAAGAGGGCAGGTCCAGGGTGTGAGCAGAGGGGCCCTCTGGGGAGAGAGGGAGGAGGGGGCTGCCCTGCAGTGTGGGATGCAAAGGGCAGCCTTTCATCCCAAGGTCACATGTTTGGCCACATGTGAGGGTCCTGTCTGGGTGGCAGGTTTAAAGCCTCTGAGCTTTATTATCCCCACGCCATCCATGAGAACCTGAGACTCAGAGACGTTGAGGCCACTTACCAGATGTCCCAGATTTACCTTGAGGGTGGTGCCCACAGGAGGGGCAGTCATGGGGGAAGGCAGGCAGGTGGCAGCCCCAGGCCCAGAAAGTCACTGTGCCCTGGACCGCCCCGTGGAAGCCTCTCCCAGTCTCGGCAAACAGTTTCTCGAGGGCCGGGAGGTGAAGTGACAGGGCCCCTCCTGGGTGGGGCATGGGGTAAGGGGGTTGGCAGCACAGCGCTGAGGGGGAAGCTGCCTGGGCCTCACACTCCAACTGCCCTGGGCAGAGGCCCTGGCATGGCCCTGGGCTCTCCTTGAAAAGGCTCTGCAGGTGGAGCTGCAGAAAGTGGGCCAGGCCCCATTGCTGTCTCAAGTGCGTGTGCGGAGGCTCAGGGTCAGAAGTTGTCCCCTTAGGCTCATTGTCTGTCAAATGGGGGATCCCAGACCTCCTTCTACGCCCTGACACTCTCTTCTCATGGTGACTGGTTTGTACTTTTCTATCCTTGGGTCCAAAAGCTACTAGTAATTATGCAAATCAGAGGGCAGTCCCAAAGGGCAGCGGAGTTCAAACAGGGCCTTGGTACCCTGGCAGGTGGCTGTTTAGTTGGAGTGTTGTCCTGATCACCAAAAGGTTGTGGGATTGGTCCTCTATCTGGGTGCAATCTGGAGGCAATGGATCTCTCTCTCTCTCTCTCTCTCTCTCTCTCTCTCTCTCTCTCTCTCTCAAATTAAAGACCATATCATTGGTTGAGGATAAAACAAACTGTTGTGGGGTTGAACCCTAGGTTCAAAATAAGACCCCCGGAAGCTGAAGATTGATTTTAAAAAAAGCAGGCAAGGATTTATTAAAACAGGAAGGCCGCAAGAGCACCACATGCAGGTGGCCACACTCACAACAGCACCGTTCCAGGTGTAGGCCGTCCTTTTAAAGTTCTAAACCACAAGAATTTCCCTTTGTTCTAAATTCTAAAGGCTGGGAATGGGCCCGCAGGGTCATTCCCAGCCACTTCTTGCTGGACTTGGGAATGTGGCCCTATCTTGTGATAGCAGATAGTACTGAAGCCTAGCTGAGTGGTTAATCTCTAAAGGTTATCTACAGTTTCTATTCCTGAAGCTACTGAGTCAGTGGGAATCTATCTCCTGTGGTCCTGGCCCACAGACACAGGAAAATTGCCTTAGCCTCTAGGTCTCAATCTGGAAGCTCAGGCAACTCCCCTATGTTAAAGCAAGTAAGCGAGTGCCAAAGCCAGAATAGCAGGGTTAAATTTCAAACAGCAGTTTTTACCTAAGTATGGTTGCTACCATACTTCAAAACAAACCAAAGAACCATACCAGAGCTTTGGTGTCAGACAAAAAGGACGGTGGGTGGAGTCCTTACAAGTGCCAGGCACACCCAGTCACTCTCTCCCAGGTGACCCAGAAATTTCCAGCAGTCAGGAGTAAACTCCTTCTCTTCCAAAGTGTGCCAGGAAGACCGCACAGCCTGGCTGTTCCGCCGACCAGCTGACCTCCATGAGGGTCTGCCTCGGGGGCCTCACCCCCATTCCTTGCCCAAGCCCCGCCGGCCACATCTGGCCCAGCCTCCTCAGAGGCCAGGGTGGAAGCTGGAACCACACGCAGGACAGGACTTCCTGTTTGGTTGGGGAAGCCCTCAGGGAGCCAGCAGCCAGGATGTCTGTGCTTCATCCTGAGAAGCAGCCTGTGTGGGGCTTCACAGCATGGCTGCTGGGATCCACACCCCCTTCTGTTACGGACCCACTGGATGGCTTTGGGCACCTTACCAGACCTTCTGTGCTCAGTTTCCCCATCTGTAGGGGTGGCCCTGAAAATGGTCAGGAATGTTGCCAGGATAACTAGGAATGTTACACCCAGGTTTCGTGATCCCCAAGGACCACCAGGGAGCCGAGTCCGATGCAATTGCAGAAAGCCTGAATTCCATGATAGCATGAGCTCAATCCCACTCACACTGACATTGGCATGGCAGGAGAGAATGGGCTTCAACAGGTCAAGGGGTGGTGATGTCACTGCTTTGGCTGACTCTGATTGGTTGGGTGAGGGCTAGGGTCCAGTTACAAAATGGAGGATAGCTCCGCCCTGCCCCACAGTACAAAATGGAGTCAGGAGTTAGCCCTGCCCCACCCTGCCCTCTCAGGAACAGCCAGGGAAATGGGCCCCAGAAGCACCTCAGAACCTTTGGGGCAGCAGCCTCTTTGGCTGAAAGACTCCTACCAGCCCCTGGAGTGAGACCTTTCTGTCCTGGGGGCCTGGCTCTGCCCTCTGAACCTCCAGAGAAGAAGAGGAGGAAAGAGGCCTCAGCCTCTGGGCCTGGCCAGGAGCCGAGCTCAAACTCTGACCCAGCAGAGGTGAGGAAATTAAATTACTTAATTCATCCAGGTTAGAGTTGAGAGGACGCTGGCCCTTTAAATGAGAGAGATGGCACCTACTTCACCATAGACTCTGCCACTCCTTATTGTCCCCCACCTGACCGTCTCTCTCATACATACCACCTGTCTGGCTCCTATAAGCATTTCATTTCTATAGGGAGTTGGCTAAAAGGAGAAGTTAGAGAAGATGTTAACTCCTAGAGAAATGTGAATATAGACTAAGAGCTGCAAGTAATCTCCTAGGTTAATGCAGGTTAAGAGCACATCAGATCAAAGGCATCCTGGAGGTTAGCTTAAAAGTCAAGAAGAAACCAATTTGGAAATTTTGCTCAGAGAGACCAAGAGGGAAGGGGGTGGTAGACACACCTACTTTGTCTCTTCCACAGCCCTTTTCTCACTAAATCATGGATCTTACACAGAAGGTAAGATTTATCCCTATGTTACAGATGAGGAAACTGAGGCAAAAGAGACCACATAAGCTTCCTGAGGTCACTCAGGAAATGAGCCACAGAATGAGGCTCCAAACCTGGGTGATGCCTGACTCTGAAACGATGCAAGCCTCACCCTAACCATTGTTCCTTCCAAGTGGCCCGGGAAGGGCATGTGACAATGTGGGCTCTATGGGGCCTGGGAGGCATGCAGACACCTCAGTAGGGCCTCGGAGGTTGCCCAGGGCCTGGGGAGGGACTGGGGAGCAGGAGCAGGGGAGGAGGCTGCCCGGAGGCTGCAGAGCATTTAGGACCAGTGCTACCTGAGGTGGCTGGGAGGGCAAGGGTTACGGTCACACTGTTCTATGGTGGGTGTGCAGGAGGCTGCCTTCTTCTTGGCCTTCACAGGGGAGCAGAAGGTTTATCCTTTAGAATAAGCTGCTGGCCTCCTTGGTCCCTTGGGTTTCTGAGTTTTCAACCAGGGCCCTGGGGCCTTTGCCAGGAGCCCCTTTCAGGGTCATGTTCATGCTACTTTCTCCTCTGGAAAGCTGTCACTTCCTTCCAAGGAAGGCCAGCTCCTGGTCACATGGTCTCAGAACCTGGCGGTCTCCTTATCAGTCTCAGAGTGAACATGTAACTCCCCAGATTCAGGTCCAATTCCTCACAGGTGGGGAGATCCATGAGCCTGAGACTCCATATGCCCAATTCACAGCTGCATCCAGCCCCTGGGACATTGCTTGACACACCAGGCTGGCCACTAGCAAGTGCCAGAGGGATTGGACAGAAGGAGCAGAACCCTAACTGACTGCCTTCTCCCTGCAGATCATCCCCTTCTCTGGGACCATCCAAGGGGGCCTCCAGGATGGACTTCAGATCACTGTCAATGGGACAGCTCTTGGCGGCTGTGGAACCAGGTACCTGTTGTTTCTCCCAGAAACCTGCCCCTTAGCAAATCATGGTGCTTGTCAGCTCAGTTTCTCACCCAACACGTCCAAGCTGCCAGTGCCTGGCTAAGGTGATGCTGAAGAGTAGGGCCTGGTCCCTGCCAACACTGCATGGCACCCCTGCCCTCTGCCAATAGCATCTGGACACCATTAACGTAGACTCCCCAGAGACACAGGCAGAGCGGGAGCTCACGGTCTCAGGCCAGCCCAGGGCAGATGTTTATGGGCTAGGATTGAACTTTGCACGTGAAGACCCAGAGATGCAAAAACAATGCCTCCTTTACTTCCCATGACGGCCTTCACTTCCTCCGTGGCCCTTGTTTGGCTGATGTGGAAATATTTAAACTTGGCATCGAATGTTATTCGATCTCTTTCTGTTTCAAGTTCATTCCTAGAAAACACTAAGGCAA